TTATATCTGAGATTTTAAGGATATCTAATAGGAATAAATTGCAGAATGGAAAGCAAATGTGAAAATACTCTTCTCTTAAACCCAATTGAGATGTGGCTCAAGATAGCATTAAAGGTTATATTACAATATAGAGACTGGGATATGTGTTGCTTCAGCTAGTTATTATTAACAAACTTCACTGAATACACTGTAATTTTTTACATGTGCTCAGTCATAGAACATTATCATTATCAGTAGACATTTAGATATACAAACCAGCCTGTCCCTCCATCTGTTTGCTTCAGAATACTTGGCATTTATTTTGCAACGTTGTAAAAGTAGTTACAGCTTTGCAGTTGAGAACTATTATAGCAATATCAATTTTTCATATTCAAGTTAGCTTTAAAATGAGAAGTTTGCTTTTTATTTATAACTCCTAGTGCCTTGCTCTATGCTTATGCCTGGGGTGGGGGAGTTAAGTATGTGGAATACAACTGGGCGATAAATAAGGTTGCAAAATTCAGTTGCTAGTAATAAAGCCTTTTGCAGTAGTACATTAAAACAGAAGTATCTAGAGCACTGGATTAAAAATAATAATAATAATAACAACAACAATCAAATCCTTTGCTTATAACCAGGAATTTGCCTCTGCTTTCTGAAGTATTTTAAGGAGACACTTTTTGCATGGTTTCCACAGAAACATTTTGCAGCAAGAAGGTACATGTTTAAAATAAATTGTTAGCCCAGGCAATAGGAAATTGGAGGCTCTTTTACATCTTATGTAGTTGAATCTTCATCATTTTATGCTGATGATCATGTTCAGCTAAATATTGGCCTGATTGCTGGTGGTTATAAGTGTATATTGAATGATTGTAGCTATTTTGTAGAATTAGCCATACATTCAGAATGGCTGTTTTGGATAGGATAGCAGGAAGTTTTTATCTTCATTTTCTTTTCCCTTCTCTCCCCTCTTCTCCACCCTCTCCACCTCCCAAAGGAAATCTGGTTTTGAACAGCTGTTTTAGAGAATAGTGAAGATGTTATGTTTTTTTAAATGATACCAGACAATAAATGAGAAGATAGGTAAGGGGAGAAAACAACCCTAATCAGTTAAACTTATTAGAATTTCACAGTTCTCAGGAGGCTGTAAATTGTAAATGGATACAATGCTGGGTGAGAGAAGAGGTGGAATGAAATCAGATTGTGTGTAGATCTAGAAAGGCGAAATGGCACTAAAAATTAATTTTAACACTTAAAAATACATTCAGTAGTGATATGTGGCCAAATATGTTAAACCATACATTTCAGAAAACTTATTACCATATTCCTTACAGTGGATTCTGAGCGATGTAAAGATTTGTCTTGGGCAACACCTGCAATTCATGCCGACTTTCCCAGTAGTAAATGCAATGCTCTGTCATGTTTAACAGCAGATAAGGACATTGAATTTAACAGCAACTTTATGTAGCTGAAGATGCTGCACATCACGTCTTCAGCTCACTGAGCCCATCACTCCAGTGCTGTCCCTGCCACTCTTAATGGGTAGTGAATCAGACAAAAAGCCTGTCTCCGCATTTTCAAAGCTACCCAAAGGATGAGTGTTTGGTCTTCATAAGAATAACATCTTCAGCTATGTTCTTCTGACGCTATGAAGCTGTGTCCCTCAAGGCTAAAACTCTTAAAAGAAGGAGCTAGGACTTTTACTGCCACAGTGACAAAGTTTGGGGCGTAATTAGAAAAAGTATTAGAGTGACCAAGTGTGACAGTGGGAATAAATTCAGTTTAGTTTTCTGGTTACTCTGTTTAGTTTTCTTTCATGTGAAGACGATAACAGCAAAGAGAAAATGAGATGCCAGAAATGAGGGAAAGAGTAGAGTGAAGGTGAGGAATGGGAGGAAATTTATCAGGAAAGAGGAAAAGAGAATGATGTGCTTGATAGAAGTTAGACATCCAGCAAATTACTGTTTTCTTATTTACGTTCTGGGAAACACATACTAGGTCACAGACAACATCTGAAAACCTGTATGTGTAGATAAAAGAAGGCAGCTTAGCTGCACTTTTCGTAAATAGGCTGAGACTCTATCTGCACACAGTGACATTTAATTAAGTCGGCAAGCTGAAAGTGGTTTTTTTTTTTTTTATCCTATGTTTTAGTTATGGTTGAAAAATTATTGCAGTTTGTAACTTTGTATCCTTATCTGAGCAAAATTCCATAAAACAGATTAGGAATTTGCCTGCTCTGGGGGCTTTAGCAATGTTCTATCTAAACAGTAATTTTTAATACTATTTTACTGAGGAATTAACTGGATGGTAACCTAGTCTGGGACACATTGTTTTAATTATAGTTGTTTACGTTCACACAGTGTAAAGGAAATAATGAATAGTGGGGATGTCAGCTAAAAACAAGGAGCCACCAGCCTGCTCAGACGTAGCTTTTTCTTGTAGAGACCTAGCAATGATATGATATTTTTCTGGTCTATATAGGAACTCCTGATCACATAAGAGTGGTCATTTGGCACCTTCCTCAAGGGACTCATACAGTGAGAAATTTCGTATTGTAAAAATAACATTTTTAACTGGTGCCACACTTCTGCACACGTTTTTGTGACACTGTTCTCTGCTGAAGTCATGTAGTAGACATACCAGGTTTTTACACACAGAAACAATCCTGTTTTAGCAGAGGATTAAGTGAAGATAAACAACATATTTTATAAAAGATTGTTATATCCTCTTTCCCATCGACAATCCCACCCCCACCCCTAGATCAGAAACGTAGCCTGGCACGGCATGCTTTCTTTTAGCTCTCCCCAGACATTTGCCTGCTACAATGCCACATAAATTTTCTCTAAGTTATCAGAATGTGATTATTAAATAATAATAGGAAGAGAGATCTCAACCTGTTCATAAAGCATAGGGATTTTTTTTAGTATAAAAGAACCCAAAGTAAAAGCACCACACTTTTTTTTTTCATTTGCATACCCTATCTTATAACTTGCAGTGATTAATGTAGTTAGAGGAAAACATGAAAGACAAGCTTTTAAATTTCTTCTGTGTGTGTGTGTGTGAGAAGTTGCCCTTGCTTGCTGATCTGAGGCAGCACCAGAAGATACCTGTCTTGAATGAGACACCGAGCTTGGAGAAATAAGATCTGGTGGTTGGAGGTGTCACACACCCGCTGCTCCTCTCTGGGGACATGGCAAAACTGTCCTGTTGGAATCCAGCAGAGTCGTGCAAGAGATCACCCCGACTATTCGTTGTGACTGACAAACTTTAAGATGCATGATATCTTCCTTTTATTCTGAAGGTCCTCTTTTCAGTTTCTCTTCCTTCCATTCAAACACCAAAATCCTTCTGGAATGGCAAATGCCAAACAAACATCCAGGCTGAAATGGTAGATCCATTTGCTATTAGCGTATCTTTCTTCTTTCCTCTACCCCCTTTCTTTTCTGAAGAAACCACTTGTTTGCTTTCTCTTTGTTTCTTAGCTGTTAGAAAGCCTTTAAAAATGCTTTTACTTCCCTGTCACGCCATTATGCTCTTTGGAAGGAGGATCAGCTGGAGTCATGGCAAAGAGAACTGCTGTCCTGGTAGTTTTATTTTGTATTCACCATACGATTCCCAGAATTGCATTGTTCCTTCCCAGAGGGGGAAGATTGGTCTCTCATGCAAATCACTGGTCCTTTTCTAGGCTTTTGTAGCCTTCGTGAAATTGTTGGAAAAGCTCCTTCTTTCTGCAGAGCGGGGAGGAGGAACTGCACCAGACAGGCTGGCCCCAGTTATTTTATCCCTTTCCTGTGTCTTACAGCTCCTTTTGAGGAGCAGGCACCAGGCAGTACCTATCCTGAGTTCCCAGGGCTTCTGCTGCTCTTGTGCATTTGGTGCGCCAAATTCCGCAGCGTTGTTTGACTCCAATCGAGACTTGCATCGGTATGAGAGTACACAGAACCTGGCCCACAGCCTTGTCTCTATGCAAAAGTATGCTTGCTGAATTTAAGCTGAATTGATAAATAAGCGCTTTTCTTCTGGCTTAAGTGGTATGTGAAGATGGCACCAGTTAAAACAAAATAAGGGCGTGTAAGTTATTTCGGCTGATAATATTTTGTGAGTAGAGGTGTCCACAGACTCCCGTTTTCACAGAGCCTTGTTAGTTTATGGAAATGCAGCTGTTATCCTCAGGAATGCCTCCAAGCCTTGGAAAGTCTAGCAACAACACAGAGAATGTGCAGTGACGGTTAGGCATTTATTTTAAAAGAAGTAAAGTGACAAAGCGAAGTAGAAGGAATAAGGCTAGAAACAATCTGGATAGATCTGCGCTGTGATTGAAAGTAGCAGGTATTAAACTACCTGTTTCTCACAAGAGGGTTAAGCAGGAGAGATATTTTAATTTAACCCCCCTATCCGCAGACGTCAGCACACGTGTGCAGAGGATTATTAACACCGTCTGCTTTACCGACAGCACTTCCCATCAGTTGTTTTATTTTGCTTTTTTTAGTGTTTAAGCACTGCTTTGAAGCTGTTAATTGTTAACTTAGGCTGAATCTGTGCGTAGATGCCTATAGCAGTGTCAGCATGCCAAGATCGTAACTGTTAGATTAATGAATGGAAGTATTAGCTTTGTGCTGGTGCAGTACATTAATAGCTGTGCAAGTTCAATCAAATACACTACTGACTTTGTCATTGTGTAATGGTATTTACCAGATCTTAGACAGACTGCTGAGAAAGATGAATGTAATCTTTCATTTTTATCTGACTTAAAAATAAGGTAACAAAATCATTTTCGTATAATGTTTTATTATCATTCTTTGCAGCAGGAGAATAGATGTACCTGTAGACTTGACATCTTCACTGAGAAGGAATATGCATATATGGGGGACATCATAGTGAATGGAAGGAAAACTAACTGTTGCAACCATTGTCTTTCACATAGCTTAATCTCATATTCTGAATTGCTGGAATTAATACCAAAAAATAAAAGAAAAAAGTATGCTTATTGCTTTTTCTTTTTTCTTTTTCCTTCACAGAACATGAAGAAAGTGTTTGTAGAATTTAGTCATCAGGAGCTGTTTGAGTTCTATAACAAGGTTTGTAGAATTTACAATACTATAGTTTCTTTGTAAACACCTTATGCTACTCAGCAGGAAGCGTTGCCTATATGAATTAAAGCTAATGAAACTGGAAGGAAAATGGATCCAACTTTAATTAAGGCTGCTGGATTTGTTTGATCACATAAAGCATTTTCAAAAGAGTCTGTGCATTCACATTTGGAATAGGCAGGGCGTGGGTCATGGTAGGCATACCTGACAGTTAGATCAAGAGCAGTAGCAGATGATTAACAATGAGGAGCTCTCTGGAAAGAGCATCTTTGTGTTACGTCTTCAGTCGAAATGCCAGGCTCGTAATCCAGTCAAAATGAACTCTATTATTTTTTTACCTTGTTGTTATGCATTGGAAATTCACAGCAAAACATCTGTGCATGTAAAAAAGGCAGTATTTAGACAACTGTTTCTTTAAAATTTGAATATTTAAACTGCGGCAATGAATTCTAATAGCTTCATGTAAAAACAAATATTCATGAGTACAGGATTTTTTTATTGCTATGTGAATAGATTTAGTATGCATAGTTGAAGATATTGGAATGTGGGTTTTTTTCTGTGTGCATGTTTCTAAACAACATTTTATATGAGTAGAGTTTTTTCTCTCTTTTTTGTTCCTTTAAATAGCTGGAAACTATACAAGCACAGCTGGATTCCCTTACGTGATGTTTTTGAAGACTTATTTCTCCATCACACTCCTGCCACCTCATTATTTTAAATTGAAGATAGATTGCCAATCTGTGTTTGCTGAAGGATTCGGTGGGTTGCTTCCTGTAAAATTATATGGCTTATCTCCTTTTTAGACCAGTAACATTAGCCAAGAGTCTTTCTTAGGAGTCTGAAGATACTAATGGACTTTCTCATATTTTCTGAGCAATTTTGAAGAATGGCTTTCCTTGCAGAAAAAAAAAAAAGAAAAGAAAAAAAAAAGATAAAAGAATGCTACCCTGCTTTAGAAATATATAATTTTTTTCTGTCCTGTTATGTGTGTTACTTGATTCTGGTAGAAATTTGCATACTAGTGAGGGACCAGCAATAAAATCTATTTTTTAGACATGAAAAGAATATAAAAGTAGTAAGAAAATACACAGCTAAAAAAAAGTCTCTGTCCTTTTGAATTGTTATTCATATAATTGATAATGCTTATTGAAAATCTGTCAAAATAAATTCAGAATTTAAAAATAGATTGGTTTCATTTGGACTTCATTTCATTATCATAGTTCTTTTTTAGTTTGTTAGGGGTTTTTTTCCTCTAAATAATCAACAGTGTCACTGATTTCAGTGTTTACTTTTGGCACTGAGAATAAATACAGCTTCTTAGCACTGCATGCATACCAATGAATCTAAGTAGCATGGTGTATAACTGAGGGGAGAAATCTCAGAGTATATAACAAAGAACACTGAAATAGCCTGACAATCAGATTTCTGAAAGCTATTTGTTGATCCTTCCTAATGCTGTCCACCACCGCTTTTACATTGAACGGGAAGAAATAAAGTACAGTGACTTAAAGGCCAAGTTAGTCATATTTTCACACATTAGTTCCAGACGAATGGAGGTTCCTGAGCAGTATGAGAAGGTAAAAGTCATCTTAGTTCTTGTTTGTTGCCATTCATTGACAGGCAACTTCATTGCTGCACCTCGATAATGGGCACACTATACAATCCTCTACTGCAGGTCAATAGAAGGTGAGGGGAAATAAAAATCTTTGGCATTCGCTTGTCTTTCCTCCTCCTGTAAGGGATTCTCTGAATTTTTTCTTGCAGATGCCTAAAACAGGGATGGTTAATACCCAACCAGCCTGGGTATTCTTTTGAGCTTTGTTTGTTTGTGACACTAGATATAAGTATAGCCAAAAGGTATGTTTTGAATAGCTGGTGTTTAGGTCTTCTTGTGCCAGATTTCTTGCTTTGCTGCTTTTGGAGTATTCTTTGGGGCTTTTTGTATTGCTTTATTAGGGATTGTGCTGTCGCCTCTGGAACACTTGGAGGGGTTTGCACCAGTTGTCTAAGCTGTGAGAGAATAGATTTAGAAGATAAAGTCATTAACAGCCTACATGTGAGTAAAGGGCACTGAAGAGTAAAAACACATTTATCACAGTTCTTCACTGAAATGCCAGGCGATACTGTACCCCTCTGGTAAGGGAACACTATTACCCAGTTGAAAAGAAGAAGTAAGCCACTTGTATGGCAGAATCTGACCCTCTATACCTTGTGAGGCTGGCTGCCGAGATCAAGTCCCCTCTCAAGCCACTGGCGAACGTGCCTCGTCTTTTGGGGATATAACACTCCCACCCACAGATGTCACATCCTTTGGCCATTCAGCAACAGCTTGCTGGCTCGCTCATCACAGGCTGCATGGGTTGGTGTGTGTCTGCAGGTGAGCACATCCCTTGCCATTCCCTCTGCCTGCCAGCGTTAGCAGTGCCTTGTAGTTAGCACAGCTTGGAAAATCCCCTTCTTCTTGGCACTTAGGCCTTGGCTTCTCTGTTGGTCCTGTGGGACAGTACGTTGTGTGCTATGACACTGCTCTTCACTATTCCCTGAGTTTCCAGAGCTTAAGTTCTGGACTCAGGTCTGAAGAGAGTTGAAATCTCTCTGTGTGGATGCAGGACGTACCAAGGCAGTTGTCCAAGTGTGAGAGAGGGGTTGAGTTATCTTTGTCAATATAGGGCAGTGATTGATGAATCCTGGAGGAGGGAGGGAAGGCAGGACCGGTTTGGAGCGCAAGAAGCATTGGACAAATTAGCAGGCACATCTGAAAAAGAAGTCAGAGTAGGAAAAATCTGGCATGGGAAAAAGGAAGGAGAGGAGAGAATAACATATATTCCTAAGGGGGGAATTTGGGAATTGGGAAACTATAGAGAGGATGGACAATGGAAAAGATGGCAAAAGTATATATACAGAGAAAATATTAGGCAAAAGGGGAGAAAAACCTTACCTATTAGGGGAATGGAGAGGAAATTGGGGAAACAAAGTAAATCAGAGTTAACTGTAAAAACTAGATCCAGCTGTGTAGCTGTATTTAGTATTTTGAACATAAGTGTTAACCTTGGTGCAAGTTTGGCCAAAATCAAAGAAAAGTGTGGGGTACCAAAAAAGAGCATTTTAAATCTAGCTTTAATAGGAAATATTTTTAAAGTGATAAAATTATGTTAAAAGGAAAAATAGGAAAAACAGAGCCTAAGATTGCAAGGTAAAATTTGTTTAGTGTTTATCCTTGTTTGCAGTTGGATGAACAGATTTATTACTTCTTTAGCAGTGGTTGCCCTTTCTTTTTTACTGAGCATACTGAAAGTCTTACTGTCAGAAGCCATAATAAAAGTCATAGTATACCTCATGGTAAGAACGATAGTTGTTACAAGGAGTGCTCAGAAATAAACACTTAGTTTAGAAAGACTTTTCTGTATGTATCAGGAAGCTTTGGGGTTGTAGTGATGGCATAACCAGTACCGTCTTAGAGAAGAACATTTAAGTGCTCCTGAATAAGGAGAGAAAATGGACTTAACTATGAAATAGCAGAACTATTTAGGGTTTTTTTGTTAAGTTATGCAGGAAAGAAGACTTTTATTCTGGTTGCTGCTCTCTGGGCCTGAGCAGACCTGGAGAGGTGAAGGTTAGTCTTTCTGTGAGAGCAACTGCCCCTGCTAAGTTGGGATAAAGTCCTGGTGTCCCAGCAGTGTCAGGAAACGAGAAAAAAATAGGCACCAGCACAGACTGGGGGGTGGCTGGGGAGGATGGGAGATCTGCCGGCAGCAGGGACTAGACCCAACATACCTCAGAGGCGGCAGAAAGGAAAAACACTGCCTGGGAGGAAGGAGGCACGCAGCCTATTTGGAACTGAACTCAGCAGGCTGGTGTGGGAGCACTGGCAGGGATGTGCATGCTGAAGGTCTTCAAGCTTTGGTTTCATGTGCTGGTAGAACACAGTTTTGAGGAGTAAGTCATGTGGGAATCTTGAGGTTTTAATGCAGGAAAGGCAAGGGATATGGCCCAGGCCCTCTTCATTTCAGGGTCCTAGCAAAGCATTGGTCTGTAATGTCTCTTGGACATGATCCAGAGTTGAAATTACCAAGGCTTCTGATAATGTTGAAGGAAGATATTTGCAGAGATTTATTGAGCTGTAAAACTGGAAATTTGAATGAGTAAGAATTACTAAACCTACTTTCAGATCTTTCAGTGCATTTTAAAAACATTTGATTCATCCTTGCTCAGACATTACAGTATTTTCTGTGGCTGTACTTCTCTCAAAGCTACATCAAAATCTGTCTCAAATGGACTATTGGCAAAAAAAGGAAATCTTTTGATTTGGGTGTAAACAAGCATCAGTGCTGTTTTGACATGAATATTTGGAGCTCTGGGCCCAAAATGGACTCTGGGTTCTGGGCTCCGAATTTGGACCTCTGGGCTCTGGACCAGTGTGAGAACTACCTTGAAAAGACCATCTCACTGGTGAAGAGAAACCATTTGTACATCACGTAGCAAAAACAACACTAATAGCACATTTATGCTTGTTGAGTACAAATGCGTTAGATTATCTTTGCCCAGCTCAGCCTTAGGCATATAATTCTTGTTTCTCAACAAAATATCAAATGTCTCTAAGTTTTTTGCATTCTATTTTTGTTGAAATAAAATATGTAGGTACATATACAAATATAACTTCGCTATCTCAGATTTTGACTAATTGCCAATCCTGCTTTGGCTCTCCAGGGGAGGCTTTCATATTCCCCTTTAATTCCAGGGTTTATTGACACATAAATTTTGAGTTATGTCTTGCAGCTTCATTTCATACAGTCTTGATTTTAAAGGCTTTGAAGTCTTGTTCTTTCAAAGCATAAAGAATTTACTGAAATGCTGTCTTACGTTGGTCAAAGGAAGAAAAGTGTTTCTTGTGATGAAATGGTATAAGCTCCCCCTCGCACTTGTTCTGTCTCATATCGTCTGATTTCCAACAGCATCAGAAACATTTCATTGTTTGGCTGTATTGGCATATCATGTCTTCAAAGATTATTAATTCACTCACATAACAGTAAAGAAATGACAGAGCTTAATAATGCCCATTGTCCAGTGAATAAGTATCATATCATTTTGTGATGTTTTATAGCTTATTTTACTAATGAAAATGAACAACATTTTGAGCCAGTGTGAGAAAGTTCCTTTTCTGTGGATCAGACAAACTGAATAACAGTGATTTCATCTCTAGGTGGATGAACTACAGTGCTGCTGTCTGAAACACTGTTGATGGTGTCTCGTAAAGATAAATTAATAAGATGCTTTTATCTGCAACTCTTGCATAAAGTGATTTCTAATTTCTGTAGTAATGAATCAATTTTATTGGATTTTCCCTTGGCCTTTGTAATTGTGTAATCAGATGAAATTATATGCTGTAATTTTAACTGAAATAAAGTGTTTAGATGATCCCTTCATTCCTTCGTTATTTTGTTTCTCAAGAGATAGGAGAAAATGCTGGCCTCTTAGAAATCAGATGCTGTCCAGCTGTGTTGAGCTATGTATCCAGGAAGCACACGTCCCTCTCACTGACAAGATTAGTTCCTTCTCTACTGAGCCCAAAAATATCTTCCATGGTTTGTCAAGGTTTTCTGTATTTACTGAAATCATAGGAAGGCAATGTGGAGCTCAACACGTGTTGGAAGCGTAACTATCTTGACCGGCTGTTCAAATAAGATGATTGCCTTGTTAGAGCAAATTCCTCTTCCAGTGGGACACTTAACTTCTTGTCATCACTGATACCTTAACTGTCCCTCTGTGGTAATACACATTCAGGAAAATCTGGACAAATGTAGTATCTGTCTCTGAGACGGCTGTACAGATTAACACAGGCAGGCAACTGGCCTCTTCTGGAGAGCACTGGTTATGGGTCTGGATGTACTGGAGCACGGGATCGTCTTTTTTGGGATTCACCCTCTAGTCATTCAATACAAGTGAAAGAACTCCTTGGTCAGTGCTAACAGGACTCCTCACATCCGCACTGTGTTGGAAGGTTCGTCCCATGGGGGTTAATATGAAGAGCTCTGCATACAGGTGAGCTGACTTTTGTTTCTTCTCTTTCCAATCCACAGGTTCAACAGTAGGACAATTTCATGGGATTTCATTTCATGGGAAGCGTGAGAATGCTGTACTTTTCCATCACCAACTTGTTTGTTTTTCTGCCTCCAGAGCGTTAAGAAATGCAGCTTTGTTAAAAAAAAAAAAAAAAAAAAAAAGGGGGGAGGGAGGGGGCAAAAAAAAGCAGTTTGATTTAAGAAATTTTGCAATTAATGTATAGAGTAAGCATTTTGAAGAAGGTTTGCTTTCTTGGATTTGTTTCTGCTTTTGGAGTGTTTGCCATAGGCAATATCCTTGTAGGCAGCAGAGAATGAAATCTGCACAAAGCCCAGGGGAGTGAGGAAAGGACCATGTCTCCCGTTCCACCCACTGCTCCCAGTTGAGCACTGGGGTGCAGCTTAGGCTATGAGTCCTGGTTTGCTCCTCAGACTGCCAGTTAGGTGAGCTCTCCTTCTTTCCTGGGCAACTGTGACTCAGGGGGAGATCAAAGAATCTGCATTAGGCAAAACGTAGACCAAACTGTATCTCTTTAGCTTAGCTCTTCTTTCTGGAAGGGATGAGAACATTTTCTTCATGACAAGCAGCACTTTTGCCTCATTCTTCCCCGTGTGAGGAATGAGGTCAGAGGAATAGCACTTTGCATCTCAGATGAATCCCTGATCTCTCTGTCAGGAGCTATGCCTTGTGGGTCTCTGCCATCTTCTCCTCTTCTACTGTGTTCCTGCCACTTCCAGCTCACACACACACAGCCTGAAGATAGGCACCACGGACCTTGAGAACAAAAAAGGACCTTTCTCCTCCCCTACTTCATCTCTGCTCCCAGGGGCACACCTCCTTCCAACTCAGGCCAGCATTCAGCACAGCTCCAGGTAGGGTAAAGCTTTCATGGAAGCTGCACTAGTACCCCTAGTTTGAAAGTCACTTTAAGAGAGAGACAGAACAGTTCTATACGAGAAGGGAGGTAAAACAAGACCAGCCTTTCAGGACAGGGGAATTATTGGCCATTTTCGGCACAAATACTCTGTCTGACCTATGAGCAATCCGATTTCTCCTTTGCAGCCAAACGCCTTATATGAATAAAATCATCCCTGTTTCCCCACATCATCCTTATGGATTGCAGCAAGCCAAATCATCCTCGGAATCTGATTTAGGGCAATGGAAGTGAGGTACATCAGATAAATGTAGAAAAAAACAGGCCCATGAACGTGGGCTGATCCCTTTGGAGCTGTGCTCACTCACTATCTCTCACAGGATGAATGGCAGTGGTCCCAATCTCTTAGAAGATCTGATACTACAACATAAAGTTATAAAATGCCAAAAGGAAAAAAAAAAAAAAAAAAAAAA